AATTCCAGTTGAGGAATTGTTTTCTTTGTTCAAAGTCTAAATACTAAGCAAAACCTATTTGACACATTTGATGCACCACCTAAAATCTCTTTAGCGATTGGCGGCGGTGGTATGAAAGAGTCGTTTGATATCTGCAATATATCAACCTCTTAATCATCTTACAATTCTACACTGGATCCATCAAGTTCTTAAAGTTTTCTTTGCGCACCTACGAAAGAGCATTCGGAATGGTGGCATTAATCAATATTCTCTTTACCTAATCAGTTTAATAGAGTTGAGGCCGTACAATGAGTGAATTCATTGTGTTCCAGACTTATCGATTAATTAATCATGATGAAATGTCGATATTGTCATGTTTAGCTCTGTTGATGAGATTAAAACAAATTTTCAAAACAGACACGCTTCGGTGGTATACCGATCAGTGTGGTGATTTGAAGCAACTCTCACCTGTTGGAGATAGGATATTCTCTCTAATCCCAATGATGCATACAGCACTTTATTTGTTTGGGAGTTTTAAATCTTTGATTAATAACAAGATATTGAGACAACGGGAGGATCAGCTGTGCAATTGCAAATCTTATGGCATCTGTATAGACAAATGGGACATATCACTTTGAAACTCGAGTACATAATGAAAGTTCCATGATGACAGCTTTTGGTCCAATGAAGAGACTATTTCAATGCCCTTAGCTCAGTCGAATCCCAACAGAACTTTCCTTTCCTGCAAAAGACTCAGTTAAAGGAATTGGTATAGATAAAATGATAATATTTTGGAAAGAGTTAAACTTTTCAAAACTTAAACGCAAATATATAGATTATGAATATAAACACTGTGGTGCTTGGTTAATGGGGTAGCTGGACAACTTATGCATATTGATTTCAATTTCAAAGTTCCTTTCAACAATTCTTGGATTAAATTTTAGAACCTTCTGTTGGTTTGATCACGATCAAAAAGCCTCATCTCTAGTTCTTGGACCAATTGACAAGGTTCTAAAATCTTTTCAATATAAAGAAATGAACAAATTTCAATTGAAAGAAATCAGTTTCAGTTGTTCCCTGAGGGAATAACTATTCTAAAGCACATATAATAAAGTTGTATTCCTACTACCTAGAATGCCTAGAGCTTCAATATATAATATGTCCTGGTCGAGCTACTTCTAGAAGGTCTTTCATCTCTAGGAAATTTATTCCTCCTAAAATTTTCTGAATCGGATCCCGTATTTAGGAACTGGGGAATATAAAATAAAGCTTTGCAACAAGTTTCTCTATGATTTCCCGATTTCAAGTCTTCACGCTCACATCAAGAATAAAAGCGACTGTTTGATGCTATCTTCAGATATTTTATGTTTTGTAGAAACTTGGGTTATCATAAAAGTTTTGATATACAGGATTTCCTCATAACGCTGAGAATAGATAGCACGGAAACAACCAACAGAAATAAACGGGGCATTATAATACATGCAAGCATAGTATTGCTTGCTCTATGAATCAAAAGCTGTAAAGAAAATTTATTCTGGCCGCAAAGTTTTAGAAGCGCTTTTGTTTAAATGTTTCAATAGTAATATTCTGGTTTATATGACAATTAATTGTAGAACTTCAGGTCCTACTTTCTCTACATATGTTTAATATGTAAATATTATATACAAATTAATATAATAATAATATCATTTTTAAAGTTGTAATATTTATTATTTTAAGCTAAACATGTATAATAATATCGATATAATAAAAAAAAGTATTCATTGTCCAAAACGATTTCTTTTCATACTACTCATACAGTTGTAAGTATTCTATATAAAATCAATTATAAGCGTATACAAAAAGCACAAGAACGATTCTCATAATTTGAGTAAATTTAGTTTACAAATTTCTAATTATTTTCACTGTAGTGAAAAGTAAATAACTAGACAACAGTTCCTACTTCTATTTAAAATATAAAAAGTCTCTACGAATTACCATTTAACTTTGCGAGTATAAAATGTTCGGTTACATCGAACTTAGCTCTTCTCACGTGCATAATGTAAAGTTCAAACTAAATACAACTATTAAAATAGTTTACCTATTTATAAAAGTGCATTCGACTGTGGTTTTGAGTTATATTAAGAATATTTAAATATATTCAAGTTCATTTTAATTACTACAAAATATCAGATTGGCACGCCTCACTCAGCTCACTCGTTTCTACGGAAAATCAATTTTCGGATATCTACCGTACGTCTGTTAACGGGCTGTAAACCTGATCGTGAATCATTTACATTGCGCTCTCATAAGATCGGTCGTATCAGCTAATTCGTCCACGTTTTGCGTCGTGACTGTTTGTGCCATCAGTTCTTGATTGCTTTTGCTTTTCCCCAGAAACTGTTTATTTGTCAACCGCCGATATCGACCACTATAGCATACATAGCTGCCATACAACATGACGAAATCAAGTTCTTGTATAGACACTTTATTTTGAATATATTTAAGCTTGTAAGCTCGAAGTTAACTTTTCTTGTTTTATTTTACAGGCAGGTAATTGTGATTGGCGCTAGTATCGAAGACCTCTGCTGCGTGACTAATTTACCATAACAATTTCTGAGCGCTATAAAACCCTGTTTATGTATGTTGTCTAAATAATGCACAAAGACCTATTTAATACACACCCAAATTGTTACTTAAAATTCCTAAACGCTATTTAATTAACTATCGCTGATGAGTGAGCTTATTCACTGCTAACAGCGTTGCTAACTCTCTTGTTTCGCTTTACTTCAATGAACAAAGAAACAAATACGAGTGTGTAATCGTGAACTACTGATCTAAGCTCTAAGCGCTTTGAAATTATACTATATGTCTAATACTAAATATTATAATACAATAGCTTTTATTTGAACAACATACATATATACATAATGTGATTTTGGTAATTGTTAATTGTTTCTACATTGAGTTCAAAAGAGTCTAATGTTTTTCAAATTTTCTTTTGGTGTCGCTCTGGGCATTCACACGGTCAAAAAGAGTCCAGCAACTCGAGTCTAGTTTTTCTGCATTCCTTTTCACAAAATTTTCGTAAATATTTGTGCGGTTCGACTGCGCAACACTGCGTGCTGCGTATTTCATTTGTATGTTGAGATGATGGTCACACGTTTTGCTTGCAATGAATTACCATGAATATGGTACCTACCCGCTAAATAGTTTCAAAGAAATACTAAAGACGGGAATTCCCTAATCCACAAGAATGTATTGAATATCCGCTACGAATACTTTCAAGGCCAAATTTATAATAGGAATTTCTTAATCTTTAAGTATTAAAAACTCATAATTTCTTTACTCCGTATTAAAAATTCATAATTTCTTTACTCCAAAATCTATATCTTAATTTTCTCCTTATTTACAATTTGTCATAATATTTCTATTATTCTATGCATACGTATTTGCATATTACATACAAAAATAGATAACAGAACTCAAATTTGCGATTGAATTCATTTGAAACCGAGCGCTCTTGCAACCATTCAAAGAATTTGAAAGTGAAAAGGAATGCTGAAAAGGGTAGCAGCGAGCTGCTACGAACAAGAACACAAAGCGGTCCGTTCGTCTTTCCTCGTCGTCCCCTCGCCCACAATTAACTGGTATGAGACTCTTTTGAGTCCCAATGTGAAACGGCACTTACAAAACTGAATATATGATGTATGCAGACCAGAAATAAAATGCAAAGACTGCGTTCACGCGAGGACTCTTTCTTCATTCATCAAATTCTCTTTGATATCGCTTTTGCGTTCACAAGAGTGACATGAGTCCGACAACTGGAGTTTACCTTTCATATCACATTCTCAAATTATTGTACGCGGTGCACACACATATTTTTGATTAGTTAATTTTTATCATTATTCACCCTTTTCTAAAACATTTCTATTATACAATATTAAGCATATTTGCATATTGCCATACAATAGCAACAATGAAAAGTATTTTAAAATGAAAAGGAATGCTGAATTACACAGCAGCGAACTGTTAACATCACAGTAAAATAACATTATTTTGAAAATATTAAGACTGAAAAGATGTTTTGATTGAGACATACTTGTAAGCGCGTCGAATCATCCGTCTAGCGATTTTAAAAAAACTTGTTATCGCATATGAGCGAAATCGTACAATTGAGATGTATTTAAAATAATAGTCCACTGTATAACCCAACCACACCATTACTCTCACTTTCGATTTATCTGTAAGAAAATTAGTCGAATGGATTAACTACTGTGGAATGTCAGCTGACGTGTTCAGTTCCATTTCTAGAAGAATAATCAGTTGAATGGGATTTCAAAAGCAATCGAAATGATATAGGTATACTCGATTATTATTCTCACCAACATTTGAAGGGGAGATAACTATAGATGTGAGTTCCTAATCATATCTTTTGAATTACTAAAATACGCATAAATACAACAAGTAAGTTCGTCGCTGGAAAAGTTATATTCTCGTTTATTTTTGCCGAAATATCTAGAACTCTCTTTGATACCAAAGCCAACCAGATTATAAAATGCAAATGTTTACATTATTATTTATATAGGTAGTATAGAGTAAACTGGAAGGGTAAAAATCACTATATACTCGTCTATACGATATAAAGTCAACAGGTTGGATAAAAGTTGTAATTTTCGATATATATTGTAGTACCGAAAAAATTGTATTGACTGATCTTTTGATGAAAGCTATCACATATTAGAACAAATATTTTCGCATAAGTTATTCGCTGTAATTGTGGTTATGATCCGATTTTTCATTTTCATACTGCGCTATTTGAAAATCCGTTGATATTGATCTTTTCGTAGTTTCAAACAATACCGTCAGATTGAAGTAGTGCGTGGCATCACCCGAGTATAGGTATTGAGATATATAGACGAAATCACAAAATTTTATGTATTTTGGTTTCTAGATTGTATTTACTATTTTTGTTTTCAGACAATGCTACCAGTCATTATGTATTTTGGTTTCTATATTGCATTTACTATTTTTGTTTTCAGACAATGCTACCAGTCATGTTGAGTCATACACCTTCAGGGGCATCAATTAAACAACTGGAACACTTCGGGCAGCTAATGAAATCGGGGAATTTTCGTCAATTCGATCGTGGCTTTTTGCGCAATCAACTCCAATACAATCGTATGACACCGCCCGATTATGATCTGTCCAAGGTGAAGGTGCCTGTGGCACTTTACTATTCGATGAACGATATGTTGGTATCGACGACGGGTGTCGATCATTTGGCACGCGAGTTGCCCGATGTTATTGATAAATACTTGGTGCCCATGGAGAAGTTCAATCATTTGGACTTTTTATGGGCGATTGATGTCAAGTCACTAGTGTACAATCGCCTCGTAAGGAATATTAGGCGCGTGGAGAATTACAAGCAAAAGCGAACGCTACAAATTAATGCGAGCATACAGCAGTTGAGTACGCATCTACAACAACAACATTTACAACTATTGCATCAACGACAACAACGGCAACAGCAGAAACACTTGCGGGAACAGCAACAATTGGAAAACCAACAACTACAAAGAAGCGGAAACACTCGCTCTAATTTCCATACAATTGCTAATGGAAATTTAAATTCAATAAAAATTGGCAGCGATGGTCAGCCTATAAATGGACGCTTACATCCGCATGGTGAGACCGTTTATTCAACTTATGCTTCAATTTTGCCGAATCTCATGCCGCCAACAGCTACAGCGCCATCTCTAAAACCCACACCGCCAATACCGACGACGCTGCCAATCGTCAATACGAACTCGAATCAGTATTTATCCGTGGATGGGGATATACATCCAGTTTATAAACCAAGTGTAAATGAGCACGAAACTATAGACAAAGAAAGTGTTTCAAATTCTAATATACCCCTAGACGCCATGTCAGTTTTGCTCTCTAATACACAGTCGAATATGGAAGTCACGACCACGAATGTGGCACCATTTGACTTCTCGGAAACGTCGGAAAAAGTCGTAGAAGGGAGCGCGTGAAGCAAACTACAATTGTAGTTAGTTTTTATGCAATTCCAGTGAACTATTCATGTTTTTTAAGTTATTTTTAAATTTTCGCGGCATGACTAAAAGAAAAATCTTATTTTAGTTCATCGTTATTTTCATATAACTTTTATTCATTCTTAAGTTGTTTTGTAAATAATAATTTTACTGCATATTTTTATTAATACTTTTTTATATTATATTTGTTTTACTTATTTTTAAAATTTAGTTGCCAGGTTAATATTTTGGTTTTTATATTGTTTTATTCTGTAAGTTCATTTATCTTTAAATATGTAAGCATATATTTTATTCACTAACTTTTATTTTTTATATAAGTTGAATAAAATATTAGATTTTTAATTATAAACCGTAATTATTGACTGTGATGACAAACGATAAACAAACGAATAAAAATCTCAGCTGTTGGTGATTACTTAGTGCATGATATTTTTTGTACAAAAATATAAATAAACATTAACATACATATATAACAAAGCATTTTGAATGATCCATAAGTACTATCCATATAACTATATGTTATGTATATATATATGTATATGTAACAGCGTGCGTGTATAATAATAATGGCTTCATTTTAAATATCACGTAGCAGCTCCTACTTTATTACTAAATTAAAACAAATTTGCTCACAGCTCTTGTTTCTGCCACATATTTATTTTTCCCTCTTTCCAAAACCTTCAACTTCTCCCTTCGAGGACTTCAGTGTTTGATTGCTTCTTTTTAATAAAAACTCATTTACGTCTCGATTAAAAAATTTAATTGTCGTTCATTTTATATTAATTCTATGTTTAATTTTGAATCTATACACAATTTTTTACCAAATCCGAAAATGCTTATCGAAGCTGACGCACTCTGTCTTTATTTTTTATTTTCTATTTCAAAAGTTGTTAAAATAATACCTAATTTTTAATACTTTTATACAAATACTTAAACTAATTTTCGTCAGTTCATCTATCTGTCTGTGCAAGCGTTAACTCGATCATGATCTCTGGCATCCTAATAAAGTTCATACTGTAATTGAGTGAAATAGCCCTAATTTGCCAAATTAGTATGCCCCCCAAACACCGCTAATTGAAAACGCCGCCTACGAGCAAATATCTTATTTTATAGATTTCATTAACGTTCCCATCATTCATCGCTAAAAAAATTGTAAAAAGTGGATCACTGAACCTCGACCAGTTCCAATATAACGCAATTTTCAAACTATTTTACTCCTGACATATGTAAGATAGACCAGATCCAAACGCAAACGGTTCATACCTTCTCAGTATGGCCAATACCAGGATCCTCATCCTTCTGGTGGAACTTAAACTAAATATATATTAGTCAATATTTTACAAATATCTTTATCTTACAAAGGAAGATTTATCCGCTGACGTAGAATAGATACATTGATTTCCTTGAATATCTTATATGGTTTGGTGTCGAAAATAGCTGAATTTGGTTCAGACTCTAGCCTCCAAATACAAAATTTTGTTTATAATAAAATTTTGCAGATACATGGATACAACTATTTCAGCCGTCTTTACTTCTAACAAATTGCGAGAGTATAGTAAATGTTCGGCGACAGCCCTTATTACTAGTTTTAACTAATTAGTTTAGTTTGTAAATATATACATCAATCATATTAGTCTTACACTTTAGTTTTTAATTTTGTATATTTATAATTCAAAAATAAAATTTGTCAATATACGGATAGTTTGTATTTTGCTGTTGTTTCATTTCAAAATCAAGTAATATATTATGAAAAAAATGTATACACTTGTTTTAATACATACATTTTTTTTCATTTCCTCGCATCTCCGCATGCTACGATGATTACAACAGACCGAATCACAGAATGATTTAAAAAGGTATTTTTAAATCAAGAAACAACTTTCAAGTGGAATTAAGGTTACTTAATAAGGATAATATTTTATGAAAATATTTATCTTGATTATGTGCGGTCAGTTTTTATGCCAGTTATATGCTATAGTAATCCAATCTGAACAATTTTTTCGGAGATTGTTGTCTTTTATTACAAGGTCGTGTACATACAGGCAAACCAACAGACAGGTGTTGGACTGTACAGGGTCTCCGACGTTTTTGGTTGTTGAAAGCTTCACGAAAAATATGGAAATATTTCGCATCACGTGGATTAAGGAGTATTCTAGTCTAGAGGCATGAGTTTCAGGTATTTTGTGATGTGTCGTAAAATAAGGCAATTAATATTGTTAAAATACATTTTTCTGTTAGTTATTTATTAACGTTAGATGAATACAGGAAAAACGTCAAAAAATAACAAGTAAGGAAGGGTAAGTTTGGGTGTAACCAAAAATTTCATACAATTGCAACTTGCAAGAATCGAAGTCGGCAGGTGTTGGCAAAATTTTATATTAAAAAATGTTGCGAAAGAATTCAACATTCATTTTTCTACGAAATTTTGAAGGGATATTTCTTATTAAATTATATTATAGGTCAAGTATTCACATAGTTTTATTAATTGAATTTAATTGTGTTAACGAAAATTATATTAAAATTATCCTTAATTGAGAAACAAGTAATATAAACACAACCGAAGAGGCTAAATTTAATATATTGAGTTGATGTGCAAAACGTCAACCAGAGGATCGAAATTTTTTATATTAGGGATATGAGATTTAGGCGAAGGTCTAGACCAATTCCATTCATATTCAATGGTAAGCTACATAGTATTCAAGGAAACTTGTCAATTTAGTTTCATTAAAATATCACACATTTTGACCAATCTGTACGGTAAGTCAGGTGGAAAGTCGGAAATCATTATATACATATGCTACATTGGAGGCATATGAAGGGACGGGCTGATTGCAGTAATTTGGACATTGCGCAGGTATATATGAGAACATATTTTCAAGCAATTTTATAAATATATAACTCACACTCTGAACGACATAAGTATTCGTTATAAGGCTTTTAAAAAAAATACGAAAATCATTACATGTAGTATATGGGAGTGGGGGTAATTCATATATACAAGTATGGTATAAGGCTAAGCGGAAGCTTGTAAATTGTATATGAGGTATATGGGTCTATTGACCCATATTAACTAATAAAGATAAAATTGTAATTAGTAAAACACTCCCTTATTTTCATTAAGATAACTCACATAATGGTGAGTTCAATATCATATCTCACAGATTGAGCGAACGTTTGCTATAGGAACTGGGGTCCATATATTCGGTATCTGGGTGCTTGAACAGTTATACCCTGATTTTGACAATTTTGTGGCCATAAGGTGGTCTACCTTCAGTGCACTATTCGAGCAAAGTTTTATCCCGATTCATTCATTGTTGCTTGATTTGCATACTGGAAAGTGAAAGAATCAGATAATTGTAGCCCGTTGACACCCATTTTCACAACGTAACATAGAACCGTCAGGCGTATTTATTTATTGATTCATTACGGATTTGGTAGTTTTTAACACTACCGTTCTATGGGGAGTGGGCGGGCTTATCATCCGATTTTAACAATTTTTACAGTGTTGGATGTGGTGCTTAAGGGATTTGTTCTGAGGGAATTTGGTTAGTATAGCTTGAATGGCTTGTGAGATATGCATATCAAACTTCTTAGAGTGCGGGACCACACCAATTTTTTCAAAATTATGGCACTTAATAAGTATGCGTTTAATGGCCTTTTATGTGCGTGACAGTGGTCCGATTACGCCTATCAACGAACTCGTTCTTACTTTTTTGCCACAAAAAAAAAGAAATTAATAATCTAGTATAATGTCGCAATGCCTGGAATTACGGAAAAGTTTGAAAAAAAATTTCACGAAGTGGCGACTGCCTGAACAAAAAAAAAAATATTTTTTACTACTTTTTTTTGACGATTTCGATTTTTTTAATATAGTACAAATTTATGCATATGGCTAGTTCCAGACATAGACAAGTCCATAAAGAAAACTTTTTAAACATTTCAGGTAAATCGGTGCAGTAGAATCTAAAAAATCGTGGGTATCGTTTTGATTAAGACAGTTTCGAAAAAAAACACGTTTAAAGTGTCAGTATCTCGGAAAATAATTTGAATTAAAAAAATCCTCTTATATACATATTCTTGAGAAGTCAAGCTTTAAAAATATAAAATAAAATAAAAAGTTATTCTTTATCTCCTTAAGGCGATGCATATGTTTCCCTAGCTCCTTTAAAAACGAATTGCCATGTAGTAGTTGGTTCATACGTCCACACATTAGCGTCAATGGGTAAATGTATATTCGAATTCTAATATTTCCCAATGTCTGACTAAAATCTGTTTTAACGAATAAATTAAAAAATTTTAGGGAACTAAATAATAAATAACTGAGCTACAGACACTGTAAGTGGACAGTTGCTTGGCAAAGCGTAAAAAGACGAGAGCTCTTAACATTTTGCTTCGCCTTGCTGCGTTTCGCTTCGATGTGAGCGTACTCATACAAAATCATACAAGTACATCAAACTTTTCTGTCAAAACAAATGTCTGCCGAAAAGCGAAGTAAAAGTTCTATTTGAATCAGCCATAAGGCACAACACTGGCACACTCCAATATACCACAACATTCCAACCGACTCCCGAGAACACCACTCCATACACAATGATTTTCACCACTCCACGTTGGCCAATAGAAATAGGATCTATCTTTTTTTCGATACAAGCGATTCTGCTGGTTTTTTTTTGCCTCTTTGGTATAAAAACATAAATGAATTAGTACACGTCCATTAAGGCTTAAAACAGGGAGTCTTCATTAACAAACAAAAAAACAAACGGGCACGAAACCAAATCACCAACCAAATAGCAAACATTACATCGAAATATGTAAGGGCCCAACCGGTTGGAACACCAGGCAATCTTCCTGGAGAAGGAAGGAATTAGCGACAATAAAGCAACACCCACGCACGTAAATATATACAATATCCCCAAAAAACATTTGAGGCAATACAAAGTGTGTCGTATTGATTCCACTTTTTATTTTACTATTTTATAAACTCGTACATGTATATACATACATGAGCACATATGTATGTATGTCGGCTTGTAAAGCAGTATAAATAAATCCCTTTGATATTTTAATAGATCAGTTGCCATCTACCATACTTATTATATCGTGGTAGCAGCAGTAAATAAGCAGTTTTTAATGATTTTGTTGTTGTTTAGTGGGGTCTTTTTTCGCATTTTCTGAATGTACCATAGTATTGTATAAAATCTTTATGCCATGACATGAGAATTTTTGATTGAAAACGGGGATTTTTTTTCGATACTAGGTAAACACAAGGAGAAAAAAAATGTAAGTAAGGAAGGGCTAAGTTTGGGCGTAACCGAATATTTTATACTCTTGCAACTTGCAACGATGAAAGCCGGAGTAATACCTTCAGTTGTTGGGAAAACTATATATTAAACAAGAAAAGCTATAATAAGCTTTACAAATACAAAAACTTGATTCCGATCTAATTTCTAATTTCTAAAACTCGAAATTTAAAAGGTCGCTCGTAATTTTATTCAATTTATTAGTGCATTACTTTAGATTTTTTCGAGGGACCTTTTAATATTCATATTAATATTTCATATATTTTTTTTCATTTATTGAATTCTGATTACATTGCTGCCCTAGAAAATAACTCATGCCTAATTTCGGGAAAATATTATGTCAAATAAAAAAGTTTACCATACAATCACTTGATTCCGATTGTTCATTTTATATGGCGTTTCGACAAATAAGCAGCTTCTTGGTAAGAGAAGGATGTGTGTAAAATTTCATATCGATGTCTCAAAAGCTGAGGGACTAGTTCGCGTATATACAGACAGGTCGCCGACGTTTCCTTCTGGGTGTTACAAACTTTGTGGCAAACTTAATATACCCTGTTCAGGATATAAAAATGTTGCGAAAGAATTATACATATATTATTCGATTAAATCGTGAATAAATTACAATCAAATTTGTTATCTTCTTGCCTTATATTGAAGGCCATAAACATAGACTTAGTTTTACTGACATATTCTAGTTCGCGTCAGCTAAAATTATATTAAAAACACCTTCAAATGAGATACTTATATGTGATATCAACTCAACCGAAGAGGCTAAATTTAATTTATATTGAATTGATGTGGAACACGTCAACCAGAGGATCGGAATTCATTATATTAGGGGCAGTGGCGGATTTGAATTTCCCTTTTGCACATCCCTTTTGTTTTTTTTTTTTTTTGTTTGTCCATTTACAATCTCAACTTCTTTTAAGAAAAGTTAAGGTATGTCTTGAAACTATACAATACTTTCATTATATAAACAAAGCTTACTAAAAAAATGTGCACTCCAAGAACGTTGATAAACATTGTTGTTTGCAACTACAATCTAAAAACAGTTGTTAGTATTAAAAATAAGGTTAAATTATAAAAGCATTGCAGTAACTTTCTGTGGGACTTTGAATTCGCAAAATGATTGATTATGTCGTCGAATGAAATCTTGTTGATTACTTCTGACTCTATACATAAAAGAGCAAAGGGTTTAGTTTTTCTTGACTTAAAGTCGATCGTAGAAACTTCTCTCACCAGAACAATTTGTTGCTGGTGTACATAAAGCTATATGAAGGGCTACACTAGGTAGAAAAAGTCTCCGCTCACCAATTTGTTTCAATAAAAATATTAATAAACAAGTAAGGAAGGGCTAAGTTCGGATGTAACCGAACATTTTATACTCTCGCAAAGTCAAATGGTATAC